ACCGCCCCCTGGCAACGGCGGCCCCGCCCCCTCTCTCTCCATGGAAACCGGGCTTTGGCCCTGCCCCCATCTACAAGCAAACAGGTCCCGCCCCTGTAACGGACCCCCCCTCTCACATGGGAACCGGTTTCCCACCCCCTTGGCAACGCCCCACCCCCAGTCCTCTCTCCACATGGAAACCGGCTGTGGGCCCCGCCCCTCTCTCCATGGGAACTGGTTGTGGCCCCGCCCCTCTCTCCATGTGACTGGGGTTGTGGCCCCGGCCCCCTCTACTCCATGGGAACCGGGTTGTGGCCCCGCCGCATCTGCGGGAGGAACGCGTCCCGCCCCCTGGCAAACGGCTCCCGTCTCCATGGAAACCGGTCTGGACCTCCTCGCAATGTCCCCGCCCTCTCGCCATGGGAAACCGGGTTGCTGGCCCCCGGGCCCCATCTCCATGGAAACCGATCTTGCCCCTCCAAAGGCCCCACCCCGTACCATGGAAACCGGGTTGCATTTGCCCCGACCACTCACCGCAGGCTCTCCTTCCCTCTCCATGGAAACCGGTTTGTGGCCCCGCCCCACTCCATGGGAACCGGTCCCGCCCCCCTCCCATGGTCCCCATGGAAACCGGGACGCGCCCGCCCCTATCTCCTGGAGACGCCTTGGGGCAGGCAATTCCCGGGTTCCTGCCCCTAGCGTGTGGGCGGAGGAGACCCGGGTGGAGGCTGCTGTCCACTGGAGTCGAGTCCCAAGGTGTTCCCTGCTTGGGGGAGGCTCGCGGCGCTGGCTGGAGGCCGGCAGAGGAGGCCCAGGAGGGGAGGGAGGTTGCTGGGAGGCTGGCACCGCAGGGTGAGGCCGGGCAGAGGAGGCCCAGGGAGTGGGAGAGAGGTTGCTGAGGAGGTAGCACCGCAGGCTGGGAGGCCGGCAGAGGAGGCCCAGAGGGGGAGGAGAGGATGCTGGGAGTGAGCTCCCCGTCCCTGTCCTGGGGCTGCCTCCTCTGCAACTGGCGCGCGAGGCCACCAGCAGAGAGGCCAGGCGAGGCTGGCCTCAGGTCCGCCTTCGACCTCGGCCTCAAGAGGCCCGCAAGAACATTGGAAGAACTTCGACCTCTATGGATGGCCGCTTGCGAGCCTCCCACAGTTGAGGCTGCCTCGCTCCTCTCCTTCCCAGACCGTCGGTGCAGATTGTTCTAGGCGACCAGATGTCCGAGAATCATGATGCAAAGGTTTAAAAATAGCCACACGCTGGCTCTCGCCTGCAAGTCCCAGCTCTCCGGAAGGAGGCCAGGAGGGAGGATCGCTGGAGGTTGGGAAGTTGAGGCCAGCCCGGAGCAAGGAGCGGAGGACCCCGTTCTCCATATGAATTAGAAATAAATTGGCCAACTAATATATATATGAAAGAATTATCCAGGCGTGGTGGGCGTGCCGTAGTCCCAGCTACCTTGGAAGGGAGGCTTTAGGCAGGAGGATCGCTGGAAGGCCAGGAGTCGGGAGGCTGCTGCGAGCGAGGCTGACTCCAGGGCACTCACTCTAGCCCGGGGCGACAGAGCCGAGGCTCTTGGGTCTCAAAAATAATAAAAACAAAATCACAAAAACCCAGGCGGCTACGACAGGAACCGGGATGGTGAGGCCGTTCGGCCTCAAAGGGTGACACGGGCCTATCCTTGTCTAAACCTCGCCCATGTCTGCCCAAACGTGGCCTCCACTGGAGCTGAGGCTCTGTTTTCTTTTTTTTTTTGAGACAGAGTCTCGCTCTGTTTGCCCGGGCTGGAGGTGAGTGCCGGGGTGTCAGGCCTCGCTCACAAGCAGCCTCCACCTCCTGGCCTCCAGCGCATCCTCCCGCCTCAGCCTCCCTCGGGAGTAGCTGGGACTACAGGCATGCGCCACCACGCCCGGGTTCATTTTTTCTATATATATTTTCAGTCGTCCAGCTTGTTTCTATTTTTTTAGTAGAGGACGGGGTTTCGGTTCTGCTTCGGCCGGCCTCAACTCCTGGCCTCCATCCACCTCCGCCTCAGGCCTCCCTCCCTGAGTAGCTGTGGGGACTAAGAAGGCATGCGCCACCACGCCGGCCCCTTTTTCTCTATATATTTTCAGTCGTCCAGCTTCATTCTTTCAATTTTTTTTTCCAGTAGAGACAGTGGTCTCGCTCTTCCTCAGGCCGCCTCCGACTCCTGGCCTCGG